TTTGACGTCTCATCCGAAGGACGGCGCCTGTTTACAGTCTAGTGTCCCCCGTCACTATACTGGGGCATCAGGACCCACACAGACCGCAGGGTGAGGGCGAATGAGTAAAGAGTCCTCTGCTCCACAGCTCTCCCAGTAATGACCTGGGGAGGTCTGCCCTGCCCAGCCCTGTCACATCTGACCAATTGCTCACGGCGATCCGGAGCCCTTAACTCCGCGGGGGATCAAAGTTTCCGTTCAGTGGCTGAGACATGCCCGGGGCCAACCCCTAGTTACAAGAACAGGCCCTCTCCCCTCAGTGGGCCTGAGGAGACTCTTGCTTCCCTGGCCGGGATAATCCCCAGATCGCCCGGATCGATCCCAGAACCCCCCACCCCCCGTTACCCTTATCGCAGCCTCAGCTGCAGGGGGATCCACAGGGATTTCGAAACCCCGAGGAAGACAAGAGCCCCGTCCCTGTTCGGGCCCGACACCCCGATTCTCCGGCGCTTACCTGCGGGCGGCTGGATGGTGGTGGGCGGGGCCGGGGGCGGGGCCTGGGGAGGGGGGGCGGGGCCCGTGCCCTGTGTGGTGCCGCCGCCGCCGCCCTGGGGGGCGTGGGCTGGGGGGTTGATGGAGGTGGAGCCCCCGCCGCAGTCCGAGTCCTCGATGTTCCCCCCGCTGTTACAGCCAGCGCCACAGCCCTTCTGCAGCCTGACGCACGCGGGCAGAGAGAGAGAGAAAGACGGGGGACGGGGGGGGGGGGGGAGAGAGACACAGAGGGGTTCAGGATCGAGTTCCTCATCCGTTTTCTACTTCAAACCCCAAAAAAGCTTACGGAATGAAGATCGCTCCCCAGAGACCAGGCGCCCGGGCACACGGAGCGGCCTCCCGAACCCGGGCGCAGCTCCGGAAAACGCAAACGGACAGATCACGCCCACATCTCGAAGCGTCTGACCAGCAGACCTTCACAGAAAAGGGGCTAGGAGCCCCCGCGGTCCACGGGCCACCGGTTCGGTCCAGGGTTGTGCCACTGCATATGATGAGCACAGCGCTAGGGGCTGCCCTGGGTCAACAGACTCCTGGGACTTACAGAGACGCCAATGTGAGACCCGCACTCCTCTGCCGGGCCTAGAGCAGAGCACAGGTGGGCGTGCCAGAGCGCCGCAGGGCCCTATTCTCAGCCTGTGTTTTCTAACTCCTTCATCCAGAACAGCCACGGGGGGGGGGAGTCGGACCCTTTCCTCCCAGCATGCACCGGGCGCAAGGCAGGGTACACCCTGGGTAGGACGTTTCTCCATCGCAGGGGTCTTTAACAGTGAATCCAGAATGATTCGCGAGATTTCCGGATTTAGACTCGTCACTTTTTCGGGTCCAGGTATCAAGATGTACCGGAGCTATCCCTCTCGGAAGATTCACCAAGGAGGTAGCGTCTTTTTATTTTTAAACGAAAGAGATCTATCTGCAATTATCGCTGAACGAACCGGTGCTGCAGTGATCCCTCCCATCCACCAGGGGGCGACGTGGCGGAGGAAGCTATTAGCGACGGGGGGGCGGGGGCCTCACCTGTCCCAGCTGCTGATGAACCAGCTGTAGATGTTCTGGGGGCTCACGGGCCCCCCCCAGACGGCGCGCAGCTGGGCGTGCCTGCCGGCGTAGGAGGTGGTGAGCGGGGAGACGTAGATGGGGTAGCCGATGGGCTGGTCGCAGGAGGAGTTGATCATGTTGCGCAGGGCCTGCTTGGCGTTCTGGATGCTGCCGCGCTCGGGGTTGCGGTTGCGCAGGAAGACCAGCTCCTGCTGCTGCCCCGCCCACAGCCCGCGCACGCACTCCCGGTTCACCTGCGGGGGGGGGGGAGAACAGGGGTGAGAGGGAGAGAAGGCGGACAGAGAGGCTTTATTATATCCGAGAGGCTTGGTTCAAGGGGGTCTGCGATGGAAGACTGCTATACCGTTATGTAGGAAGGCCTGCTATGAATATCACCCTGCAACTCACCACTGGCAGCCCCACTGGAGCTCCGCAGTGTGAGCCTGGCCAGTACCTGGAGGGGAGACTCCTGGGAAAGCCGAGGCTGCTGCTGGAAGAGGTGTTAGTGGGGCCAGCAGGGGGCGCTCACCCTGCGGTCTGTGTGGGTCCTGATGCCCCAGTATAGTGACGGGGGACACTAGACTGTAAACAGGCGCCATCCTGTAAAGCCCTTTGAGTGGAGTGTCCAGAAAAGCGCTATATAAGTGTAAGCAATTATTATTATTATTATTATATTCTGAAACTAAGTGACCAACTGTGCTAAAAGAAGTTATCTTGGGCAATTAGGGAAGAGGAAGACGAGTGTGATCCCGGAACACCGCCAAGCTGATCGGCACGGGGAAGCGTGATGGACAACAGAAAAATATTTCAGGACGGTTCGAATTGAATCACTCGGAGAAAAATACACCCGAGCGTTCCCCGTGTGGCTCCCACGCGCTTAAAATAAAAACCGGTTTCGACTTCCGACACGTCTCCGGCCGATGTCCCAGCTATCCCAGCTATCTTTGGGAGAGCCGAGGCTATCCCAGCATGCCCCTCCGTCGCCGCCGTGTGCTGACCTTGATGACCCGGAAGCTGAGGAACCTCTTGTTCAGCATGATGATCTTGTACTCGTCGCTGCCGTCGTCCATGACGTGGCGCAGGGCCAGGAGGGAGGGCATGTTGGCCAGGATGGCGCCCCGCCACACCGGGTCGCCCTCGTGGGAGATCAGCATCTTGTCCTCGTTGGCGGTGATGGCATCGTACAGCACCGCCGGGTCCTCGTACTCGTCGGGCGAAGTGAAGTGATCCTGGGCGGGGGGGGGGGAGGATGAGAGGGGGACAAAGCGCCAACGCGTTAGCCAACGGGAGTTTTGGAGCAAGTGGTTCAAGCCGTCACATGGTCGAGACTCTTCCGAGCAGAGGAACGGGGAGAGAGAGAGGGGGCTCAATGGTCTCGCGGTCTCAGCTCGGGGTTAAATCCCTGGCCAGATGGCGGGTGCTGGCACGTGCCGAACACGGATCACCCCGAGACCCAACGGGGAGGTGGATCGGGGAACGTCAAGGACTGGGCTTAGGGAGGAAAGGCTTGAAACCCGGGGTTGGTGCAGCCTCGGCTGCTTCCCTTATACTAGGAAACGTCGTGGTTTTCTGTAAACGGAGCCTTCAAGTCACGTGGATCTGACCCCGACCCCTGACCCCTGACCCTGACTCTTGCCCACGGGGTTACTTCTAAAGCTCAAGAACTGGTCCACCACTTCGAGAGGGGCTGGGAGTGTCTGGATGTCCAAATTATACAACAGCAATGCCTCCCTCTCAAAATATTAGAGAAAGCCACCCGACTCCTGGCGATTACACCCCCCAAAAGTGCAACATCAGTTCGACTAGCCCTTTGGAGACATCTGTGAAGATACAACAGCAGCCGAGGACGATCTGCACTAGACGGCGAAGACGCGGTGTGCCCTGAACTGCGCCTCTCCTGTTGGTGGGGCAGCCTGTAACAAGCACGCGTTGTGCGATGACAGCTTAACCGCCAAAGGCACTGCAGCCTGAAACGAAGGCCGGGTCTGCTACTACTTTACTCTCCTGGGGGAATCGTGGGACATGCTAAGGGCTCGGGCCATCCCCACCAAGTCGAGCGGGATGGGTCACCCCGAGGGACCACCTCTCTCAAACAGGCGCGGTTCAGGTATCTTGGTGCTAACGGGGGGCTTAGGATCAGCGGCGCTCTTTGCGCTCCTCACCTGGTGCAGTTTGAGGGACATCCGGACCCCCGGGGCCACCACCCGGTTCAGGAGGTCAATGTCGGCGAACACCCACTCGTCCCTGGGAGAGGTGATGCGGAAATCGCCCTTGAACAGGGCGTGCAGGCCGTAGAGGAAGGGCTCCAAGCTGGGGAGGGACACGGACAAGCAGAGACGGGCGTTGGGGGGGGGGGGACTGGACACAGATTCCATCATTCACAACAACAACGACGACGATGATGATAATAATAATAATAATAATTGCTTACACTTATATAGCGCTTTTCTGGACACTCCACTCAAAGCGCTTTACAGGTAATGGGGACTCCCCTCCACCACCACCAATGTGCAGCATCCACCTGGATGATGCGACGGCAGCCATAGTGCGCCAGAACGCTCACCACACATCAGCTATCAGTGGGGAGGAGAGCAGAGTAATGTAGCCAATTCATAGAGGGGGATTATTAGGAGGCCATGATGGGGTAAAGGCCAGGGGGGAAATTTGGCCAGGACACCGGGGTTACACCCCTACTCTTTTCGAGAAGCGCCCTGGGATTTTTAATGACCACAGAGAGTCAGGACCTCGGTTTTACGTCTCATCCGAAGGACGGCGCCTGTTTACAGTATAGTGTCCCCGTCACTATACTGGGGCATTAGGACCCACATGGACCGCAGGGTGAGCGCCCCCTGCTGGCCCCACTAACACCTCTTCCAGCAGCAACCTTAGTTTTTCCCAGGAGGTCTCCCATCCAAGGAGCAGGTACTGACCAGGCTCACACCTGCTTAGCTTCAGTGGGTTGCCAGTTGTGAGTTGCAAGGTGATATGGCTGCTGACCATGATACCAGGAGAGAAACAACCAGGCTTTCATCTCCAGGGGTTTTGAAAACAAACCAGTATCTGCGGGGAACCTGATCCGAGGCCAGCCAACGGCTGACGCCGGGTTGGGACCTGGCAGCCCCCAGATTCCTGGCTCGGGATTCCGGACTCGTGCACCCCTTACCTGGCCGACATGCTGTGGGAGGCCGTGCCCAGCGCTCGGCGGCCCAGGATGCAGAGGCCGAAACACAGCGCGAGCAAGGGGGAGTCCCTCTCGCTCTCCACGGGCTGGAAGACAAGCAGGGAGAGCCCACGACAGTTTAGAGACTCCAGTAGTGTCCAGGAGGATCTCAGCCGTACCATGTTCCCAATACTTCATCCTCAGTAGCTCGGCCCCTCGGCACCGTAACTCGGAGCCTGAACGATGCCGGTTTTAACTCCGATTCACACCTTGGAAGTCGAACGGTAATCTTACAAAACAACGCAGTTTTACCGAACTGTAACGGCTCCGTCACGTGACGTCTTTCAGACGCCACAGAGATCCTGATCTCTCTCGTGGGCGTCACGTTTCCCACCCAGTGTGATCCCGGCGTTCTCTCCTTAAGTAAACTTTCCCACCCAGTGTGATCCCGGCGTCCTCTCCTTAAGTAAACTTTGCCACCCTAGTGTGATCCCGGCGTCCTCTCCTTAAGTAAACTTTGCCACCCTAGTGTGATCCCGGCGTCCTCTCCTTAAGTAAACTTTGCCACCCTAGTGTGATCCCGGCGTCCTCTCCTTAAGTAAACTTTGCCACCCTAGTGTGAACCTAGTGATCTCTCGTTAAGTGACCTCCCCTCCCAGTGTCTCCCAGTGTGATCCCAGAGATCTCTCTCATTCAGTAACCTTCTCCACCCAGTGCGACCCCAGTGGTCTCTCTCATTAAGTAACCTTCTTCACCCAGCGTCCCCCCAGTGTACTCTCTCGGCAATAAGCCTTTAGCCCTCCAGTGAAACTGGGTGTGATAAAGCTGGGAGAAACCGAAGCATTAGAAAGACGAGCATCGGCATTCATGATCAGAACCCACACTTCCTCTGGCTGAAGCCCCAGCCACTAAGCCAGGGGGTCAGCGCGCCAGGGCTCTTCCGTTCAGTGAGGAGGCCCAGCTCCAGCGGGTCCTCAGACCAAGACGGGACCCCAAGGAGCCGGATCAGAAATGAACGAGCTAGAAGGATCCGTCTTGGGGGGAGGGCAGGGGGCTCGGGATCCGTCTGGGGGAGAGGGCAGGGGGCTCGGGATCCGTCTGTGGGAGAGGGCAGGGGGCTCGGGATCCGTCTGGGGGAGAGGGCAGGGGGCTCGGGATCCGTCTGTGGGAGAGGGCAGGGGGCTCGGGATCCGTCTTGGGGGGAGGGCAGGGGGCTCGGGATCAGTCTG